GTAGCATTCGTATGAAACATAAAAACGCTTGAACCTGAATTCATGAATTGAAAGTAATACTTGGTTGTTTTGCCGCTGACGCGGACTGTCGCTTGTTGGCTCGTCTTTTTTTTGTAACCTAGCGATGCTCATCTAATCCCTGTTCTTCAATTCACGTCGGCACCAAGAATTCTCAAATGTGACCCACATTGCTGATACACCTTCCTCTTCCTCTACATCAATCGTCAATGGTTTCTCTCTCTTCCCAAAATCATTGTGGCAAGGCCCACTGAGCAGAGCATAATTGGACATCTGATCAGTTGTGATAAGACACACACACACACACACACCAGCACACACCACACACACACACCACACACACACACACACACACACACACACAAACAATTTCCACATCGGTGTTACCCCCGAACCTCCTGTTGTAATATACAATGTGTAGTACAGTGGGTGGCATGGTCATTGAAAATGTGTTCTGATATAAGTTCTTCACAGAAAATTAGCCAACGCCATTGAGTGTGAGGTTGAACAAAGACCCAACATTGATTTTGAGTGATTAGGTCACATGAACTGGAAGGTATTGAAGAAATAAGCTCATTTTTCCATCAAAATATTAATATAAAAATATTTAGAGTGTTAAAATGCAATAAAAAGAGGTGTGTCCTATGCAGCCAGTGTAGTTCTTTGACCCAACATTGATTTTGAGTGATTAGGTCACATGACCTGGAAGGTATTGAAGAAATAAGCTCATTTTTCCATCAAAATATTAATATAACATATTTCAACTATTAAAATGCAATAAAAAGGTGTGTCCTATGCAGCCAGTGTAGTTCTTTGACCCAACATTGATTTTGAGTGATTAGGTCACATGACCTGGAAGGTATTGAAGAAATAAGCTCATTTTTCCATCAAAATATTAATATAAAAATATTTAAACTATTAAAATGCAATAAAAAGAGGTGTGTCCTATGCAGCCAGTGTAGTTCTTTGACCCAACATTGATTTTGAGTGATTAGGTCACATGACCTGGAAGGTATTGAAGAAATAAGGTAATTTTCCCATTAAAATATTAATATAAAATATTTAGAGTGTTAAAATGCAATAAAAAGAGGTGTGTCCTATGCAGCCAGTGTAGTTCTTTGACCCAACATTGATTTTGAGTGATTAGGTCACATGACCTGGAAGGTATTGAAGAAATAAGCTAATTTTTCCATCAAAATATTAATATAAAAATATTTAGAGTGTTAAAATGCAATAAAAAGAGGTGTGTCCTATGCAGCCAGTGTAGTTCTTTGACCCAGCACTGATTTTGAGTGAATCGGTCACATGACCTGGAAGTTATTGAAGAAATAAGCAAATGTTTCCATCAAAAATATTAATAAAACCTATTTAAAGTATTAAAATGCAATAAAAAGAGGTTTGTTCAATAAATGTATGCACTAGGGTGAATTTGCTTCACATTCACACGATCGAGAAGCTGTCGATTTATTAAAAAGAACATTTTTCTTGTGTAATTGTAAATGTCATTTGTTGATGGTCCCTAAGTGAAAGCCTCGTTTCGCGGAGAAGATCTCCCCGTTAAACTGACGCTGCCGGCGGGTCCGGGAAACTGACGCTGCTGGCGGGTCCGCGAATGTCCGTCGAATATCCAACCTAAAACTAAATTCACCGCGGTTCAAATCTTATGAACATAGGTGTTTCTACCTTACTTGTCTCGTGTAGTTCGTAAAGCAGTATTGATTTGGAGTCAGTGGATCACTTATCATAGAAGCTATTATGTATAAATAAATTAGATGTTTTAATGTGTAAACGTTGATATTCTCACAACAATATTCATTAAAATATAGAATTAACTAGTGAGTTTGTCCTATGTTCTAATCAAAAAATGAGATTAACTTTATATAACAACATTGTGAAATATTTCACATTTAGAAAAGAAAACCAACAAGCACTGTGCATAAGCAGTTTAATTTGTACTCAGTTAGTCTCTATACACAACAGTGAACAGGATTCATGCATGTGTGTTGCATTACAGTCATTGAGTCTTAACATTTAAAAACAATGAAGTTTGAAAAGAGAAACTGTGCTCAAGATTGGTTTATACTCAAAATGTTCAAATATACAACATTAAACAGCACACTTTTGTATGGCACCCTAAACTGATTTTGCCATAAGGAATACTCAACAACCTTTTTTTAAATGTTAGGTTTCTTCACTTCAATCATTTCCTGGTCTCCCCTTTGCTTCACTAATATGTTATTGTTCTGGCTGCTGTGCCATTTTTTTTCAAAATCAGAGTCAATGTTTGGGGTCAATCAGTCTTTGTTGAGTCAAAGGACGCATTGCTTTCTGTTGGCTCATCTTCACTTTCTTTTTCACTGCAGCGCCTTCTCTTCGCTGGCCTTGCATTAGTCCCTTCTTCATTTCTCTTTGGCCTTCCTACGGGTCTACCTGTGCTCTTCTTTTTACGTTTTGGCTTAACTGTTCTCTTCTTCTGCACCTCCTCTTCTTCATCATCATGTTCTTTCATATTGTTGTCTAACCCAGAGACTGTGTCTCTCTTGTTTCCATACTCCTGACCATCACCAGGGTTGCTTACAGTTTTTATTATTTTACCCTTCTTCGGTTTAGGTCCTGAGCCCGATGAGTGGTAACGCTGGACATGACTCTTCAGGCTCACATTGTGATTAAAACTTTGCTCACAATGCTGGCATTTAAAAGGCCTCTCCCCTGTGTGAACACGCATATGGGATTGCAGGTGGCTTGCCTGGCTGAAGTCACGTTGGCACACTGAACACTTATGGCGCTTCACTCCTGTGTGCACAGCTATGTGTCTCTGAAGAGCATTGGACTCGGCAAAGTCAAGATTGCAGATGTGACATTTTAAGACGCGGTGAACTCTCAGGTGGGATCTGCGTGCGTTATTTGTGGTAAATGTCTCTGAACAGTCAGTACATTTGTAGGGTTTTCGTTCAGTTATGTGGATCTGCTCGTGAGTGATTTTGTCCACTTTTGTTTTGAATGTAACATTGCAGTATTTGCATGGATGTTCATAGTTTTCATCGTGGATTCTGTTGTGAGCGTTTAGTGCGACCTCACTAACACATCTCCTACCACAAGTATTGCAAGCATAGGGTCTTGTTTTGTGTTTACATGTGTGAGACTTCTGTTTATTAAAAAACGTGCCACACTCGGTGCAGAGCTGACTGTGTGTGAGGGCAAGTGGAGGACAAACCCCGTCGACTTCCTCTTCAGATTCGGTTTCCGCTTCAGATTCTCCATGAAGCTCGTTCAGCAGTAAAAGTTCCTCCTCTGGAACCCAGTCCTGGTCTGAGTTACTTTCATCATCTGACTCCTCTGATTCCTCCATGGGATCACTCTCCTCAGTGCTCTTAAAAGTTTTAAGGACAAGAATGGGTATAAGTAAGTAAAAGTGAACATGTTCAGTACAGGATTAATATTACAACCAGACAAAAAAAGAGTTGGTTCATTCATTTATCATTCAGTCTTTGAGATATCAAATAATAGTACAAAACTAGTTCTACTCACAACTGTCCAAAGCAACCAAAGGATATTCAGTTTACAGTTTTAGAATAGAACAGGTAGAATCATCAAAACCTCCCATTGAGAAGTTCAAGCATCTTTTCACTGCTTGATCAATTACTTTAACTATCGGATTTACAATATAGTCCTAAAATCCACACTGACTGTTGTATAAATGTATGTCAATTGACCGATTGTTTAAGCTCTACCTATTTTTGTGTTGATTATTGTAGCAATAGTCAACACAAAAATCCACTGCATAAAATTCCAATAATAAAAAAGGTAATTGTGAAAATATTGGAGTGTATCTTGCATATTCATTTAATTAAAAAAAATTGGAATGCACAAATCTATTTAAAAAAGGAGACTTAGCTCTTAGCAGTGTTTGGATATGTTTTAGTTTGTCTGACAATGGAAGTCCTACCTGTTGGGTCTCTGAAGTTGTGTCGCCACTGGCATTGACTTGGCTTTTCCACTGGTTCCTGTACTCACACTGAAGGCACTCTTGGTTCACAACGATGAGCACCCCATAGATGACCTTCTCTGTCTTTACTTTAGAGCCACATGACGGGCACTTTTGGCTGAACAACTGGAGGAGACATTTTTCATTCACAACGTACCTCCCTTTCATCTGCAGAAGTGCAGCTCTGAGGAATCAGTGAATCAAAAATATGAGATACAACATTAGAAAGTCTCATCTAGTTTTATCAAAGTAAAACTGTAAAGAAGGATTCACTTACTTTTTCCTAATCATATCAATGTTCACAACGTTGTGTAGCATTTGCCCATAATCAGATGTCTCTGAAGCATAACTTGGTGCTGGGCTTTCTTGGTCATCTGCAGATTAAATGTAACCTTCACCATTATAAACATGAAAAAAATACATTTGAATTAATACCAATTGTATTGTTAAACCTTACCCCTTGAAGTTAGTTCTGAGTCTTCAGGATAGTAAGATGGACGATCACATGTACTTAGTTCTTCAGGCTTCTACACAAAGTGACACACAGGGTTACATACAGGTAATACATGTGTCCTCCTCACATGGCAGTATGGCAGGTCACTGAACATTTCTGCCGTCCACTAACAAAATATTTTCTGTCCCTTCTGAAATCTATGTAGGATGTAAAGACTAAATAAGTGGAACCAGACTAGAAATTGACAATTTCAACTCAGGAATTGCTTTACAAAAAGTATATTACCTAAACTAAAGAAAAATATGCCCAGATGGCCTAATTCTTCTCACTGCTACAGCCAACATTCATCCTGTATTTGGCAAGTGGTAGTTGCTAATTTAATTCACTGTCTCCAACAAAGACATGACACATGCTCAATAATTACAACATCAACAGTCATAGGGGTTATTGCAATGATATGAGACATGTCAATACAAACATTTAACAATTACAAGTGAGTGAATCATTTGGATACAATGTACTCTACATGTTGCATTTAGCACACACACATTAATATAACCCTGGTTGGTGGTTAGTGTGTCATCACTTTAATCGATAAAATAATGAACACCAAAACATTGAACACACCAAATTGTTCTTCTTGACAATTATATATGCACTGTGGTTCTGGCCTACTTTTAAATGATAGATATAAATGAGTTATGTATTCATTGAGAAATGAATGGCAATGTAAAAACCTTTTTAAAAACCTGTGTAATGATAAACTGTGTGCTCACTAGTGAGGATATCCCAATCTACCCAGCCAGATGTGGTATTTAAACAAACACACCAAAAACGAAATGCAGTGTCAATAGCTATGGTAAAAAGTAATATATGGCATTTCGTTGATGTGCTGTTAAATAGGAATGAGTAACTTGTGTACACTGTATGTGTGCGTCTATTATAAATACAGACTAACCACATATTGTGGGCTCTCCATAGGTTCCTGTGGTTCTGACTTGACACACACTGATGGGACAGCACTGGACCTGAGCTGGGCCGTGCCAGGCAGGGGTTCAAAACAGTCTCCAGTAAAGTGTTCATTGCAAATGGTGATTTTAGTCCAGCACGATTCCTTAAGTCGCTGTTCATTGGCTTCCAGGATGAACTGAACCCACTGCAGCCTCCTCTCCGGATCCTCCGGTATCTTAAACCGTCTGGCACCACGACGCCATGAATCACATCCCAGGACGGAGCACATCCTGGAGATAAAGGATCTCTTCCCGTTTTAATGTGGCGGGTTAACGTAATGTTTGTAGGGACTGCAAGACTCGTAAGGTCCCAAACAGTAAAAGGCTAAGTGCTAGCTGGTGGTTTCGCGGGTTATGGCTAGAAGGGATCCGTCTTGTGTAAAACTATCGCGAGAGTTTGCAAGTCACGTGGCTGAATGTTTACGTTTGGCAGGCAGCCTTACGATCGTTAACATCAGTGGGCCACAGCAAATGATGGTGAGAAGCTAAACTATCTATTAATTATGTCAATTACAGGGAGTGTGATTGTTAAAATAGGGTGTTAGCAGTCTTGTTGGTGTTCAAAGAAGAATGACAACACTGTAGATCACCAACACTATGGTTTATTTTTTATTCACAGGCAATTCAACGTTGTCGCAGTAAAAGTCCCAAGATAGCTCCTGGTGCAATACAATTTTCCCTTTCAGTATTTTGCTATTATGTCATGTTTCTCTATTAATATTGCTGCTGCATTAATGTGTATGTTGCATGTTACTGCTGTAGATGTGTTCCCAAGCCGCTCCGATTACAACGAGAGTTACAACGAGAACGTGACGTCATATTTACACAAGACAGATCCTTTCTAGACATAACCCAGCAGCTTCTACTGAAGCCAGTCCCCAACTCTGGGGACTTCCTGTCGGGGACTTCGGGTGGCGGTATATGCCGTGAAGTTGTTTGCGGCCTGCCAGTAAACACAAAGCAGCAGAAGAAGAAGAAGTGACGTCAGCGGCTTCATTTGCCTAAACTAACTAAAGACTTCTGATGAACTAATTTCTGATGGACTAAGTACGGCAAAGTACTTGGTGTGAAAGCGCCTATTGATCCATACATTTCAGGCAAGTTTGACATAGTTTAGACTTAATTTTCTACCCATAATTTGGTATTGAATCCAGTCAGAGATATGGATCGGAGAGGTAGACATTGTTGCTTATTAACAAAGTTCCCAGAATTTGGATGTAATCTCATCAGTTCTCCAAAATAGCACATTCATTACATTCCGCTCATTGTTAGCGGCTCACAAAACAGGGTTATTAAGCTCAGTAATAGGATATTTTCAAGCCAAATGTACCGTACTTATTTACTGCTAATCAAACCCACTGACCCTGTTCACTACTCCCATTGAACCCATAGCTCCAGATCCCTGTCAGCATTACTCAGCAGGAGTGGACCACCTCATGGCTCAGGGTTACCGAGTGCCGGGTTCCAGCCTGCACGGTGCACATTCTGTCAATGGGCCTCGGACAGTTTGGCGGACAGAGTTGCCTTTACGTGCCATTGCCCGTTCAACAAAACAATAGCACCATTCTTGGTAATGTGGCAAGACATGCCCAGTGGAAATTGAATTGCTTTCCACAGAAGCAGCTCTTTGACAATCAATTACCCAACCAAGAGCCTTTAATGGGTCACTCAGAGGACGAAAAGGAACAAGGCCGTTCGCTAGGATATATTAGAGCCTGGGAAAGTGTCACTGTATGTAACAGGTTGTTCTGTATTAGGAATTTGGAGCAGGAATGATTATTACCCTGGACTAGAAAATATTAAAGGTCCCCTATTATACTGTTTTTCATCAATATATCATAGTTCTTAGTTATATACAAACATTTCTCTGAAGTGTTTGGCTCGAAATACCAAAGAGATCATGCATTGTAGCATCCCTGTTTCAAACGTGCTCATTCTCTCTCCACGCCCCTCTGCGAGATATTTGGTTAACAATAACACAATGGTGCTCGAGGGGGAGATTCAGGTGATAAGGTGTCGGGGGGGGGGGGTGTTACCTTGGTTGGTTATTGGCTAATGGTTACACAAGCCAATTGTTATGACATCATAAAGTGGCCTAAATCTGTTCAGCTCATTTTAATCTTTTTTCCTGAAACTTTCAGAATCTCTTTACACAGAGGGGAGGGGACACATGTTGATGTATAAAAGNGCCCCAGGCAGGATTCGCACATTGTGTGCTGCTCATAGCTCATGATATATCCTGAGCCACATGAGGGACAACCTCGGATGCAGTTGTTGCTCATGATGATTAATAGTTCTGTGCTTCAGTAACTGCCGTGGTTTGCTGAAGAAAAGAGGGAGCAGATTGTCGGGCCTCCTTCCTATTTATACCGGAAGGAAGCCCGAAGGTGGAGCCCACCTTGCGGGTGGGCGTGGACTACAAGTGTTTCAGTGCTGCGCGGGGGCGCAGGGGGATTACCCAATAGCGATAGCCTTAGAGGGCGAAGCCATATACGAAATAGAACGTCAAATCAGTGGGCCACAGCAAATGATGGTGAGAAGCTACACTATCTATTAATTATGTCAATTACAGGGAGTGTGATTGTTAAAATAGGGTGTTAGCGGTCTTGCTGTTCAAAGAAGAACGACAACACTGTAGATCACCAACACTATGGTTTATTTTTTATTCACAGGCAATTCAACGTTGTCGCAGTAAAAGTCCCAAGATAGCTCCTGGTGCAATAAAATGTTCCCTTTCAGTATTTTGCTATTATGTCTGATGTTTCTCTATTAATATTGCTGCTGCATTAATGTGTATGTTGCATGTTACTGCTGTAGATGTGTTCCCAAGCCGCTCCGATTACAACGAGAGTTACAACGAGAACGTGACGTCATATTTACACAATACGGATCCCTTGCCGGGTTGAATAGCGGGGTTGGCTTGGTTTGAGTTAAGGCGTATCCCGGCTTGTTGGAATCATGGTTGGAATCAAGGGAATTACCATTGTATATACACATCCCTGGCCCACTGTGTGTGTGTGTGTGTGTGTGTGTGTGTGTGTGTGTGTGTGTGTGTGTGTGTGTGTGTGTGTGTGTGTGTGTGTGCGCGCGCCTACTAAGAATACGTGTGTTTCGGTTTCCACCAGGTTTCCACCAGGTTTCCACCATAGTTTCCACACAGACTAATGGACAACATGCAGGTCTGTCAATTTTCCAGCAGGTGGCGCTGATTAAAAGGTTTTGCTGTTGCCAGTCAGCAGTTACTATGGTACTATGGTGATACTGCATTGGCTTTTTAAAGTCACCTGGATTTCAAATAACTACATACGCAGTTTTAACTCACAATGTCCTACTCATAGACTGGGGTCCTACTCTGTTTAAATACACCCCCTGAGTTCCCTAGTCATACATTCCCAAAAGGTGACCTGTGTAGCTCTGTAGCCTACTGTAAAGCAGTTAACAGATTCAATCCCCCCCAAGTCAAGAAACATATGTTTTCCATGAGGTGGAGCATACTGTATCTCATGTTTTGTGTCTCAGAGGAACTGTAAATAGTAATAATCCTCAAGAGTCAATACATTCCATCTTTTAACTTTTTAATGTATATAGGGCCAACACTTGACCACACCATTTGTATCATTTTATTCATGTCCTCATTGTCCTGTAATGTATCGTACTTTAATGTTTTGCTGAAGGTTAAAGATTGGGTAGGTAAGGAGAAACCAGCTCGAGTGCGCTAGAATTTGAAGCCGGAGAAAATCTGCCACTTCCTTACAGAGGCCCTCCTCCAACACACACGATTGCTCACATGACCAATGAGGGCACGAGATAAGTTTGTGCACAGATGGAAGGCTGACAGGCAGGTAGGCCCATAGATATATATATATCTATGGGTAGGCCATCCAGTTATTTTAGCCAGGCCGGCTAAAATGATTGGTCGTGCTTTTTACAGCACTACGGCTTCCACAGATAAAATGTTGTTATGGATTTTTTGTCAAAACACTTTTATATTCATTGCTATCGGGTTGTTAAGAGCATTCCATGGAATATAACAAAAAGTGTATCTCGGTTCGGTTTCTCAAACTTACCTACCCCACCTTTAATTTCAACATATAAAAATGTGTTTAGAATCCTAAAATGTATACATGAGTGTGAAGAGCCCCAGTTTTAAACTCCACTGTGAAATTATTTTTAACTTTTAAAAAGCATGTTTTTGTTGAGCAGCTGTAACCTTAAGCACTCCTGCTTACTTTTCAATCAGTACATATCTTGGCCTGATGTTACATCTTATAATATTGACTTTTCACTGACGTGTGGGTTAAAATATTTCAGAGTCAGGTTTCTGGGTTAACACGGCCCCTAAACAAACAGGAATGCCAATCAAACTGCAGCCTTTATATCAGGCTTGTGTTGCAGGTGGTGACAAGTTACTCTCCTGAGTCCCTCTGGAGATGAATCACCAATGTCCGAAAAACATACAAGGGCTTTATGACATGTGAGAGAAATGATAGGGCTTTGTGGATTGACATACTTTCCCTCAGGGTGTTAGAGGATGTCTGCTTCCTGCAGATCTGAGAAGTTGTTCCATTTGTCCATTAATCATAGCAACATATCCGCCCTTAGGTGGCCAGTCGATCAATACCTCATCACACTGCAACAATGTTAGAGCAGCAACAATCGTGATGATCGATTCATATTTAGTCAGTTTCCTATGCAAAAACTACATCTATTGTGTCTTCAGCCACTTAAATTGAGATATACTGTTTTTCTTAATTTTATTTTATATTGAAGTGAATATCAGATCCCCTATAGCCCTATATAAAAAACAAATGAGCAGTTTAATAAACAATAACAAATATCATTAGTAGCAGCACTAATCAAAATTCATTTGTATCCTTGGGTTTGGTTATTTGCTTGTGATATGTAGACACTATTGTTTAGCCAACTGACTAATACTACAAAGAAATATGAGTCAAGGACAATCTGCATTTCAAAATATCCCTCTTAACTCTCTTACTTTGGTATCATCATTCCCCATCAGCATATTTGCTGAATGTGCTGGAACTTCAAAGGCTGATGCTTAGCAGGAATGTGCTGTAAAACTGTAAACATTAGGATGGGGCAATAAACCCGTCAGTTCACACAAACACCCAGCGTGAGAAGATAATTTCCACGGTTTACACAGCAACAAACCCATCCCTTTCATGGTGATCACAGCCAAAATTAAAATCCCATGTGACTGAAGCCATAGAATGGAGGAAAAACTGTTGCGAGAAGTGTAGAAAATGACATTTCTTTTGGATGTTTGAGCACAACAGGAATTTGACCCCTGACTCCCATTTACGTTCTATCCTCCTTCATCATGTTAATTCTGGGAAAGAGAGAGAGCTGCAGTCGAAACATGTAAGCTGCATTTCACATCCACAGAGGAATGTTGGCGTGTCCTCACAATGTTGTCAGTCAGTATGCCAAGATAAGAGCTCTGAGTTCATAAATAAGATTGATGGTGTTTCACATACCACCAGTTCCTGCTCTGTGTTTTCCCATACAAGCATCCGCACTATCTCACAAGTTCATATCCTCTCTGCCCAAGCCCAGCCAGGCATGCTTAGTCATTTTAACATATTCCCCATCCAACTATCAAACCACAACACAGGAGACATTTAGCCTTTGCTTGTTCAGGTGTGAATATGAATAGAAAAAAGTTTCAACACTGGCACAAACATTGACATAAATAGATTACTTTAAAAGGTTGTGTATTGGCCCTGAAATGCCACTTTATTGTTAGGAGGCCCTTTAACTGCCGGACCAAGAAAAAAGCTATGGAAAAATTATTTTTTTGCATTTTCTTATCAAATGGGCCACAAATAAGCCCAAACGCATTTTTTTTTTGGACTGACCTCACAGTTTTGTTTTTATGAGCCTCTACCAAATGGTCGAGCTGGCTTTCTATGGTAAAAGTACATTTTCAACAATCATCATATACAGTACAGTATTTGTATGCATCAAACTCAAATAAAACACAAACTCAAATACATTTGTTTCTTTTATGGAAAATGAGCAATATATACAACCACATATATTCATAAAAGATAATAAATTCTAATTGTAAAAAAAAAATATGGAAAATGTTACAATAGTTGTTATATGTTTCCACACGGACCCAGTTGAGGGGAACACACACCGGAGCAGGCATGCGGATGAAGCCAGGGTGTAAATGTTATGCTACGTTCTATGTAAAAGTTTAATAAAGTGTAAGCAGCTAAAAGTGCTTCAACCGTTATTATNTACAGTATTTTTATGCATCAAACTCAAATAAAACACAAACTCAAATACATTTGTTTCTTTTATGGAAAATGAGCAATATATACAACCACATATATTCATAAAAGATAATAAATTCTAATTGTAAAAAAAAAAAAAAGTAATGTAAAGTGTTTTTCATGATAAAAAAAATACTTGCTCATCTTACTGTATATGCTGAATTGGCCTTTACAGGAAACCACTGGCCTAACAGCAAATGTCTATATCCTGTGTTGGTCTAACTTGCTCATCTGTGTGCAATTTTGGGCTGAATGCCATGCATGAAAGTTGCTATATAGATTATTATCACTCTTTCACTCTGAGACTCATAAGGCAGGACTAGGTTTAGTAATATTACCATGAATCTAGCCATTTATTTACCATATTTTATTGGAAAACATCTCTGAAACTCTGAAAAAGTCGTATTGCTAGTTACCATAAAAGGCCAATTCGACCGATTGGTTGAGCATATTTTCAAAAAAATAATTACACCCTTGTTAAAACTTTTTTTGTGCATCAAGTTATCTAATTATGTTCAGTCAGTGCCCTGCCACTAAAATATGTCAAAAAGGATATGGTTACCTTACAAAAGTTGACCGAAAAGAGTGGTTTCTTCAGCAGTGATTTTTAGCATTGCCAACTTTCTCAGTTGAAGCTAGCTGAAGGGCATTCTGTTTGAACCACAGTGAAATTTAGAGGTTGTTTTGTGCATAACATGTCAACCAAAGGGTAGAGCTGGCTGAATCAGATGGAGTTACACTTTTTTTTTTTTTTTATCAAGANAGCTAGCTGAAGGGCATTCTGTTTGAACCACAGTGACATTTAGAGGTTGTTTTGTGCATAACATGTCAACCAAAGGGTAGAGCTGGCTGAATCAGATGGAGTTACACTTTTTTTTTTTTTTTTCAATAAGATATCAAGACGCAAAATGTGCTCTACCAAATGGTGGTGCTGGCAGTTAAAGAGTTAAGAACAGTTTATTACAAAAAAAATAGCTCTGATTTAATATACAGTGTATTCAACAAAGACGTTTAGGATCAAAAGGAAACGGATTGTGTTAGTCACTCCCTTAACCTAAGCTCTACAGGCTGAAAGGTTGTGTTAAGTATAAATGACCAAGAGTGTCTGTTAGCTTTCTACTTTTTTGCAACTTTGCATTACTATATGAAATTTTTACTGTGTGAATTCAATAGAAAAAAAAGCTCCTTAACTGGCAACATTTCAACCCATCACACATATTTGTGTGTGTTGGGTTGAGTATTAGTTGTGTTGGGTGGTTGCTGGAAACATCGCTAATAAGCTCGAATTCCAGCATGCAGGTATACTTTTCAAGCGTATTCTTATGATGATTTGATACAAAGATCCAACCGGGCTTTTGTGGAAGTGCACATGAAAACTCTAGCAATTTTTTGTATGTCTCTGTCTTTGTAATGAAACACTATATGATTGTTAAATGTTGATTAAAGAAACAGCCTATCATTTAAAATGTGTGAAATCTTTCTCCCACAGGCACATTTTGTGTTGCACACACATAATGCATGCAGTGGGATGACTAGTGAAACATGTGAGTGGACCTGGATGGCACCATAACGTTCATTGTTATTCTCATTGTCCTGCTACATTGTGAGGTCTCATTGTCAGCCAGCGCTGCTCAACCGCCCCAAACTGGTACAAGTCAATATCAGTGGCTCTGTGTGTGTGTGAGTGTGAGAGAGACAGAGAGAAAGAGAGAGAAGCATCCATCCTGAAACAGACACCACATAACAGAGCTCTCCATTCTCTCATCTTCATATCCAATGGCGTGTCCTGACATTGTTCATAAACACCTCTGGGGGTGAGTTAAAATGGAGGCAATAAAAGCGTTTATGACTGCAGCACATGTTAGCCAAGGTGGATGGAGGCACGCAGGAATTTCAAAAGGCATTAGCGGCTAATCTGGGAGAAACCTGTCTTTGTCAATTATTGGGTGACGTGTCCCAATGAGAATGTGATCTATGTCAAGCATGCTCTTCATGGCAAGAAGAGAACAAGAGAGCAGGCCACCCGAGAAAGTTGAACCCAAAAGAATGCGGCTCTGGTATTCATTAATGAAGAGCACTCTTCTCTGTGGTGGAGCGAGGACAAGAATGAGGAGATAGGGTGACAAAGTGAGAGAGAGAAGGGAGTGAAAAAGGAAGGCAACATTTACTAGAATAACCTTTTCAAAGAAGTATGAACGAAGCTGAGATCATCTTTATGCTAGCAAATAGATGGAAGATATGTTTGGCCAAAATCCTCTAAATGAAAAAGAAACACACAAGTCAATGAGCCAGGTAATGTATATTAGAATATTTTTATTGCTTTATGAAATGTTGCATGAATTCAACTGTAAAAGCCTTCATATTGTTTGAAGTTCACAGAAATGTCTGTTTGAAGTCAACACTAGGTTGGTTGTGTACAGCTTGACATGACCGTGATTGTCGGCACATAACTTACGACAAACATACATAAACTCTTTGGCATCCTGCTCAAAGCCCTATCGAACCTAAAATAACAATACAAACAAATCTGTAGAAAATATATAATAATAATAATAATAAACCTGCTTGTTAGTTCAAAGCTCACAGTAAACAAACAAAACAACACGGTGTCGTTTTTCAGCTTTTATCCCGCAATGGTGACCAAACCAGCAGAATCACCACATCAGGGAACACACTCACATACTGTAATCACACATGCAAACATACTTTGTTAAAGGAAAAAGTCATCAGAAAAACAGATGATGAAATCAACACCCTTTCAAAATCACAAACAACACCATGTCTGTTTCAGTTTGTCTTTAATATATTATGCATCTCACAGTTCACACACACCTCTAAACCTTTGCAGAACCAGCTGCTCGGGCTTCAGCAATATGGACAGCAAGAGCATTTAAATCAGCAGTGTCTCATGTGTTATAAGCTTAAATTATTGAACACAGGGAAGTCTTACACACAGATAAGATCCAAGTGATGGGAATGAGGTTACTCAGATTGACAATTCTTATTGGAGAGGGGGGGGGAATATAGGTCACATAGATAACCTTTTATTGAATATTTGTCTTGAAGAGCAGGAGGCTTAAGTTAATATTTGGGGAATGTGGAAACCAGATAAGATAAATATGTAGCTTCTTAATTCACTGGGTTGGGAGAGGAGATAAAGGGGGTTATGAAGGGGGAAAGCAGCAAATATATATATTTATATAAATATTTAGGCATTCACTCTCTGAAAACATGTTGCCCTATTACAATCCACAATACTGTCCAAGTACCTCAGAAGATTAGTCTTTTCTCACCCAGCCGGGCAGACTGCCTGCAGCTGTCCAGCTTAGTGAGAGGGAGTGAGGCGGAGCACAGCTCTGTCTCTAATAATGTGAAAATGGTCCTCGTTTTTTTTTTTCGTGCATTGGCCACTTTCCACGACATTCTTGAATCCAATATTCAATCCACTCTTTTCAAAGACTTGCACTCTTCACAGATTCTCAGAATTGTTATTTTCTCTCATTCAAAATCCACCTCCCGGTTCTTTAAATGAAGATTTCCACAGCCTCTGAATCCAGCTCATCCAGGCCTCTGAAGGGGTTCAATAGCAACTTCTTAGGCGCTGCCTTGTCTGGAAGAAAAAAAAAAGAGATAGAATGAATAATTTTAGAAATGCTTTTAGGCTAAACCAGTGGAAAAATGTCCCAGATACAGCTCAGCTATTAATGACTAAAGGTTAACAGAGATTTTCCACATTCTAGCAGACCACTCTGGTAAATATGCTCAGTCAACAGATCCACATTATTTCCTAACCATGCACATTCCTGAAAGCCCACATTATGAACCATGACCTGGACAGATGGCATCTGATTGGCTGGTTAAGCAGCAGTGTGGTTAATCAATCTGAAAATCCATGAAGCCGGGGTCCAAAACTCCTTTCATGAAGAGTATTAAAAAGCTGTGTGTGTGTATGTTTTGTATAGCAGACTCTGAACTTGTGAACGCTTGTTTATTCATGTTTGAAAATAATTTATCATTCAGGTTCAGCATTCTCTGATGGTTTCTTGGCATCGTAAACAAACTCACGTATGCGTATTTGATAGATCACTCACCACTGTTGAGCTTAGTCGTGCTGGCAGCCTCTTTGGCTTTCGTCCCCTCCACCTGCAGCTCGAGCGTTCCAGGCTCAGACTGAGCGGAGAACTGATGGCTTGGCAAAGTCTGATCGTCTGAGAGACTCTTACCTAAAGAACAACAGTGCCTGTCAGAAGTGCTTTCGTCTTTTATCGAAATGTTTACCCACAAACAATACTTTTTATTTTTGAATATAATGTACAGAGTTGACCCTTAGGCTACGCTTTGCTGTTTACCTCGACTCCTTGTGTTGCTCAAGGCGGCGCTGATGGAGGGGGTGGAGGAGGCGGGTCGGAGAGATGCCCCCACTGTATTCAGGAGGTTTGGGCGGGGGCTGTGCTCGTCCTTCCTCCCTTGGTCCTGGTGCAGCCGCTGGTTGAGGATCTTGATCACAGCGTCCTTCTCCAAGATCTGAGCGTAAAGGGCACGAATCCTGTTCTCCATCTCCTGATTCCTGTAGTCGGCCACCGGCAGGTCCTCGTTGAAGCTGTTGTTGGAGGAGTGGCAAGGCGAGTGGTTAATGATGGTGGTGTCTCTGCAAAAGGAAATGACAACGTGCAGATGTTAACTCCAATTCAAATGAGCAAAAACGTGTACTTGCAATGTTTTGAGAAATGTGAAGCTAAGTTCTTTACCTCTGTGCAGCGGCGGTGGCAGCCACCTCCATGGCAAACTGCCTCATGGTGCTTTCTTCCAGGTACTTCTGCTCCCAGCGCACCATGTCGGCCTCGAGGGCCAGGATTCGCTCCTCGCGCTCATGCAGGCGCTCTTGGAGGGAGCCCATTGTCACTCCTGGTGGCTGAGTCTGCCTCTGAGGTGGAGATAGAAAATATTGAATACAGACGCCAAAAAACAACTAAAAACGACTACTAGAGAAATCAACGTTTTTCCTAGTTTTCCTAAGACAGGATGTTTACCTGTTGTGCCCTCAGAGTCCTCAGCTCCTGCTCTAGTCGCGTCCTCAGCTTCATCTCCAGGGTCTCCCTCTTCTCACAGGTGGACTGCAGCTGAGCCAGCGCACCCTGAAGTCTCTCAACCTTCTCCACATAAGCCCTCTTCCTCCTCAACTCGTCTTCAAGCTGGCGGCCTCGTCCACGAGCTGTGTCCAGCGCGTCCTCGAGATGCTTTGACCTTTTGTTCTGCTCCTCCACTGTGGATCGCAATCGCTCCAACTCCCGCTCTACGCGCTCCTTCTCAAAGTTCTGCTCCTCATCTGAAGGAAAGAAAAAGATGGGTGGGACGGTTAGTTGCATTTTTTATGAACGTGGGAATGATTTTTTTTTTATAGCAGTTTGGACATAAGTGCTATTGGATGAAATGTGAAATAATTCCCAATCTGTCTGAAGTTCCTTCTCAAATACGTATGTGCATCAATCCATAATTACTCCCTCCTAAATCCAATCACAGTAATAAGTACCAGAGTTGCTACATGGTGGCCGGTGTTCTTCATTTAGCGAAGCACTCCTGGAATGCTGAGAGGAAGGAGGAGGAGGAAGGGGGAGAAAGCCGCCCTATCCCTTTGACCCACATAGCATTCCTCATCAAGGCCATACAAACACCAACACCCTGCTTGAGTCCAGTTCCTTAAACAGACAACATAAATCACACTAACAACAGGTGGGGGGACCTCATTTCCACTGCTGCTGTGTGATTTAGAGGCCGCTCGTTTCCCTTTGCAAAGAGGTGTTTGGATCGAATTCCCTATAACCAAGCCTTCTCACCAAATAAGCCGAGGTTATGCAAGTGAAATTCCTTCATGCAGGATCCCTTAGCTACAAAAAGGGCCTCATGCTATGCTACCATCTGATCGAATCAAGCCTGTTGATAACAAAAGAAGGATATAACAGAGAGCTGGGGATTGGGGGGTGGGGGAGGTCTATCCAAACAGAAGGACATACTCACTTTGTTCAAGGAGTTTCGCCATGATGTGCTGGTTGTGGTCAGCTGCTTCTACTTCTTTAGCAACATGTGATCTGGCATTTTCCAAGTTTTCTGTATTGCAAGAAAGTTTGAGAATGAGATAACGTTGTAAACTGGATCTGATATAAATGGCAGAATACTTCATAGCTTTGTGTATGTGTGGCAGCACTTTATCCATACCTCTTAGGTCTCTGTTGAAATCCTGTAGCCTCCTGATCTCAGACACTAGCCTCTTCCTCAGTGTCTGCTCCAGGTTTTCCCTCTTACAGCTGCCCTGCATCATTGTTTCATAGGCCTCGGAAATACGCTGGATCTCCTGCTCCAGCTGAAAATGGGAAGAATAAGTAGCAAGGAAAGAGGAGATGGAGAGGATTGGAGGAAAGGAGCGCAGAAAAGAAGAAGAGGAATCTTTGGTTACTTCACATGCCAGGGAGGAACTGGAATGTTGAATCGTGTTGTTACAGTACATGCATATAGTATACATATAGGCCTGTATGGGTACATATGGGACTGTGTATACAGTACACTCAGTGTGTGTCTATGTGGTATAGTTCTGAGAAGGAATTCAAGCCCGCACCACTCCCTGAGAGACTGATTTATATCTACATTCCTGAGGGCTGATAGCTCTAGTTCCAGGTGTGAGAGCGCACAGGAGCGTGCACGTACACACCACAACGCACAAGTTAACACGCAACCACACAAACAGAGGTCTGGGAAGGCTGCCAGCGGAGGGAAGGTGTGCATGCCTGTGCCTGGGTTGAGGAAACGGCAAAGAGAAACCCACCATTATAGCAGTCACACAGGCATGTTTACCCAGGGCTGCGGCCTGACGGAGAAAACTTTCCAACCCTGGTAATTATCATTCTTTAAGGCTGAGGCAAGGCAACGGCCATGTGACATAACTCCAATAGAGAGCCGGGTGGATTTTACAAAGTTTGGCTGAGGTGTCAAATATCTCTGAAGCTGTTGTTCCACCATGATGAACAAGAAATGTGCTCATTTTAGGCCAGATTCAATCAAAAACTAAAAACCAGAAGAGAGAAGGTGGAATGGTTGTTATTTGGTGGAAAAAACAAAAAGGGACCTTTCACTTTTTACAAAGCAGCTCACCACCTGCCACGGACTCCCGCCCCACCCCCATCAGCTGTGTGTGCGGGTCACAACCCGATCGACTGCTGTCTGACAAGCCCTAGATTAGGCTGAAAATCTATGGCCTCCATGAAACTAAAGCACGCGCGCACACACACTCTCTGGCCTCCACAAGGTCAGCTCCACAATGAGAGGAGTGTGTAAACACAGTAGCAGGCTGTAACCTATGTTTGTGCCTCTGTGGTATGGAGGGTAACAGCTGCTGATCTCCTCTGTCCCTTCCAGATGAGGGAGTGTGCCTGGAGTTGGACGTTAGGGAGACAACTGTTGACCGGGGTTGTGTTTCGTAGACAGGTGGCTGAGTTTTTAGGATGATGTCTGTCTGGTCAACCATTTAAGAACTTTGGATTATGTCCCTCTGGAATTGAGTCGTGTTTGTGCCAACCTCTCATATTCTTATGAGTTTGTTTGTTATTGTCTAACTCCCCTGAATGAAATGTAAATCTAGCTTGAGTTGGCCTGTTTTCACTCCTTCAGCAAGATCTGTGAGATATGTCAAATGCAATAAATAATATGATTTCCTCTCCTTACCTTCTGAATACGGCCAGTCTTCTCCCTGTGTGCTTCCAGCTCTTGCCTCAGCCTCTCGTTCTCCATCAGCAGCAGCTCCACCTGGTTGGGCTCCTCCAAGCCAGCAGGTGGCAGACTGCTGAATGTGCTGTAGCAGGGCAGTTCAGCTTGCTGGACAGACTGGACATACCTATGAGAGACACATTTCTGAGTAAATAAACCGATTGTAGCCAGCTAAACTTTAAGGTATGAGAACTTCCTTTTTGAGCAACACATGATAAATATCACTCTATTTCCTCCTATCCGTGAGCAGACAAGCCGACTCCAGTGGCTGGAAAGAATGTCAAAGCCTATATGAGGAACATACTTTTGTAAAAGCATCCCAGGAAACACAAGCATGTGAAAATATCTTGTTCCACTATGCCTGGCATTACAAACACCTGCAGGGTTGGACTTGTTCTCCTGTTAAGTATTTCAAGAAGCCAATAGGCTCGCAGGCTATGGTGTGACTCACATTGATAAGTATGTGTTTACGCATGTGAAAACACCATGACGAGTACTAGTTGATTGGCTCTAGTACAAACACTACTCCACAAAATATGATGTGATGTTAAAGGAGTTTAAAAACATGCACACACAATGACAGTGAGGCCTTTGTACCTGAGCTGCTGTGCTTGCACCTCCTGGCTCTGGTGAGGAATAAATCTTTGGCCCTGGATGGGGGCTGAGTAGTCTGGAAGCGGCCTGCGTTTGTCCATGCTCTGCCTCGGGCTCTGGAGGGCCGGCGGTGTGAAGTACGGCAGCTCAGGGTAGCTGAGAGTGCACCTTGGCCTGCTCGTATGTTGGCAGCTCGTCACTGTGCAGCTGGTAGAGCTGGTAGCCACTCTCTGAGTGAAGGTAGTCTCCCTGGTGCTCCTGGCCCTGGGGCTCCTGCCTGGCAGAGAGCTGAGGGAACGGAGGCTCCTCCTGGTTGAGACTTTCCAGAGAGGAGCGTGGGCTCCTGCCCAGTTCACATCCACTGCTGGGTCCACTGTTGCTCCCACTGCCTCCACGCAGGGCCTGCTGCTGGATGGCTAATAAAGTGCGGGTGTCTGTGGGGTTTCCATAGCGCAGCTGCTCCTGGATCAGCCGGTGCAGGACCGTGCCAGACGGTTCTTCAGTGGATGACATATTGTTTCGAGTATGTTTATCTTCTCTAGCACTTGAGTTGAGTTTTTCTTGAAAATATATCTTTTAAATCAGTTGTAAATCTGAAACAGAGCAAAAATAAAAAGGGATTAAGTATAATCAGTCAAACAAATAAATAAAACACGAGACAACTGAACAAAAAAAACTAACACTAATGGATTCATATAGTAGATGAATGGCAGTGTTTGAGGAATGTAGGATTTTGGAATAACAACAACACTATCAACACTGAGATTGTAGATTTCCTTTTTTTGATCTCATTAATACAACACCTGTGATTGATGTTTACCTGGAGTATAACATTAAAACATTGTCTACTTTACAAACAGCGACAACATAGAGATGTGGAGACATTTTACACAGCAGGCACAAAAATGCATGCGCCAAACATTCCGATCTCACGGGGGAGCAAAAACACACAAAACCGCATTTTAAAATAACTTCATCTTTGGAGTTTAAACACAATTGTCCATTTTAAAGAATGTGAACTACTCGAAACTCCTTCACAACAAACAATACTCTCAAAAACTCGAACCAGAAGTTACGATGAAGCTACTTTCGTCATGTTTGTGATCGGTTTTTTCTATTGTTTAAAAAGGAAGATTAAAACAGGCTTTTCTTACCAGCTCACACTCTCATGATAACAAAACGTTGTTCTCGATGTCGAAGTAAAAAAAGTCAGAGTAATTCCACTTTTTCCATGAGTTTATAGAGTCAAACTTGTCTCATGTTGCTCCCCCTCGACGGGCTGCTCTCTCGCTGTGAAATGAATGTGAAGAGCAGGCGGCGATAATAAGTAACCGAGGAGGGACTGAGGTCGGAATGCCAGGAATGTAAAACGCGAGGTCCCTCTGGGATCAAAAGCGTAAAACCACACGGAGGGGGGGAGGCCGCACTGCGCTTAGCATTACCAATGAGGAGTTAAAAAGAAGTTTAGGAGAGGACATTTGAGCCTTGGAAATAATGCTTTAATGCTCAGTGAAAGGGAAACATAGCTGTGTCGTTATCTGGCACACAATCTACTTTCTAGCACCATTTGTGTTGTGTTGCTCTAAGAACTAATGCATTTGTGGAAGGGGTATTCAGATCATTTAAAGTGGAATGTTGGAATATCTGAACAATATTTGACTTGTATGGTACAACACAAGTATTAGTAATAGTTCTCAATACGCTCAATGCCCCCTGTTAAAGCTTATATTTGATTAACTGATTATATGTTGTGCATGTAGAATCTTAATTTGAAAACTGTAATTATAAATATAGCCCACGTGGTAGATTAAAAACATTTATTTACAATAATGTACCTATATGAAGTATAAAGTAACATGGAAATAATGACCTAACACTACCTTAAACAAGTGCTACCTTAGATCTTTATTATTGATAGTTTGACTTGAATGTTGTTGTTGGTCAAGGTGAACCTAATTTGATCTTTACACCATTGTTTTTTTAATCATCACAATGTTTCATGTAGAATCTGAATCTGAGAAGTTATACTGGCTGTTCATAGTTGAGTAAAGAAAGCAACATTTATCTCTGAAAACCAGTAGTAAAAATATAAAGAGGCATACAATGGACACACTAAAGTTAAAGTTAAACTTAGATCTTTGCACCCCTAAAGTTTGGTTGCTTGTAATTTAGTATCCTGGAGGAATTCAAGCTCCTCTTCACTGCTGGACACGAGTAAAAAGTATTCTTGTCTGTGAAAGTGTGTTGAGACTATGCATGCCTTAATGGTGTGTGTGTGTCTGCGTTGTGTGTGGCAGCTGTCCACTGGAATCTGAGGTCTGCATATGCCCCATTACTACAAACACAGTGGCTCTTTGTACCCGACATCACACTACACGGTGCAGAGCAGAGCCTGGAGAATGCCACACATGGGCACAAATCCCAAACATGCAGGGGTCGCGCTCCTGCTGAGACCAGGTTACTCAGAATCACAACATGTGTGGATGGCTGGAGGACAGTCAACCCTACACCCATTTACATATTAGGTAATAGCATTCACTAATTCCCAACCAGGGGTTCTTGTACCCTGGGGGAATCATTCCAGGAAGTACTTTTACAAATTGGGATAAGCTCAACTAATTTGAAATAAATTGATCAATCTAAATAATATACAAATTCACAGTCAGAGTCAATAACAACACTAACCACGTGTAAGTGTATGAAACAAAAAAGGAAGAAATATAAATAAACAAAAAGCTAGCTAGAATGGTAAAAGTATTCACCTAATGTAATAGCCAAAAGTCTAAATAGCGTTCTCATCCGTCACTGAAAACATAAAATTCTTGCACCTCACACGACATTGTTTGAGACACCGATTAAGCACATTACCTTAATTAACTTGCTCCAGGCTCTGCATCGGGCCATACGAATGTCCCGTGGATTCTTAACAAGCCAGTCTTTGTAAAAGTCTTTGGTGAGCCACAAGTCCTTGAATTTCCATTTTCTATGCATAGCTGAAGGTCCCCTTATTGTTAGCTTTGTTGTGTGCTTGCCCCTGTTTAACCTGTATCCGGTTCCTTCAGACCCGTAGGTTACATGTAAAAGTTATTGAGTAAATCCTTTTAACAGTTAGTTCAAAGTAGCTTTATGGATAAAGATTGCAACTCCTAACTCAATCTGCAACTCTCATTGGTTGTGAATGAGAAAGGGAACAAACTGCCCTTAAAATTGACAGTTAAATCATATAAAAATATCCACTATAATGTTATAGTTTATATCCAGTTGATTAAAGACAATGTTTGGAACATGAAGGGTACAGTTCGATCTAATTGGTTGTACAGTTTAATATATTTCTAAATGTCCTCCAGATTATCGACCAAACATCATGAACATCCATTTGTAGTTCCTTGAAGATATAAAATTCCCGCCTGGAGGAAGAAGCAAATCTTTATGATAGGTCTTATTTATGTCTGAGCCAAATGACAAGACTGAGCTATTTATTACCCGCTTAAACCTAACGGCTATATTGAGGACTTTACACCGGGCCTTTTACTGAGGGCCCTTTAAATAGCAGAGATTTTAGTCATAACAGACTAATCATGTCTTCAGGCAGTGGAGGAAGCGACCAATAGGGAGGGTTGCAGATGCTACCCTACTTTTGCATAATCTACATTTTTCCCACCAGAAGCCAAAACATGAGCAAACACATGCAAACTGAATTGGTAAAGAATGGGGTTAAATCAAAGCACAATTGTCATTGATTGTCTCTAAAGCATGTGGCCGCTGGCCTCAGGCTGATTATCTCATTAATCCCAAAAATCTATAGACCCAATGAGTTGCTACAACCTCACCATGGTATGTGCCTACATCTACTATCTGGCCTTTTCCTACTTAACACACAAACACACACACACAAACAAACACACACACACACACACACACACACACACACACACACACACACACACACACATTCCCGTCATGTTTCAGATACTGCATACTCTTAAACGGGCTCCTTTAAAAAAAACATGCAGACACTGCGTCTCTGTGGGCGGCACTCACACTGAGGCGAATGGTCAGCAAAGTGGAACATGTTTGCATTCCCCCTTCAGATCCAAATTGTGAAGCAGCACAGTCTCCACCTTTTTAAAAGTCTGCTCATGTCATTTAACACCACCTCACGACTTCCTCTATTCTGTGTGCGTGTGTGTGTGTGTGTGTGTGTGTGTGTGTGTGTGTGTGTGTGTGTGTGTGTGTGTGTGTGTGTGTGTGTGTGTGTGTGTGTGTGCTGGTGGATAACGCCTCTGGCCATTTTGTCCTCCATTGTACCACACTTCCTGTGAACTTCCAAAGGAATGCAAGGCTGACCCTTTGAAAATTATAGACGCTTTCAAAAAGTCATTACAGGAGATGAACATCTAAAATGGCGTACCACTAAAATACCTTTCTAACTGTCTGTAGAAAACTCCAAAGCAGACAAAACGTTCATGAGTTATGCCTTGTTTGTTAAAAGAAGAGTGGGTTGGAGGAAAATAAAACACAATTGTGTAAAATCATATTGCTCTTGAGGTTTTGGTGGGAACATGAGCACAAATGAGGCAACAGTGAGAGTATTCAAACTACCAGTTACACATTTGGAAACAGTCTGGGTCTAAATTTACTCGTCTGAGCCGTCAGTATAAAAATGTCTTTGTCAAAGGGAGGGAGTGAAGAAGACAACGTGTGTGGGGGAGCCCTTAAAGGTACAAACTACTATTTCTGTATTTGTAAAATGATTGTTCCTTTTTTTACATATTTAATTAGGTGTTGGAGGGAGCCAGAGATCTAAGGATTGTAATGGCCAACATCTAATTCACTGTAATTGTTGTGCATATGTTCAAAACAAACAGTTGAGGCTTCACATGTAGAGATATGTATAGCATGATGATGGCAATTACTTTCCTGTCAACTAAAAGCTGCAGTTGTTTAACCACATCAAGGTATTGACAAACAATCAATCCTTAACAACAACTCAACAAGCGTGTAATAAATATAACCTACACCCCTTTGTAATTAAGACCTATTTTATGTATTCTAATCTGGGATGTTTTCAAAAGAGATGGAGGCTCATATATCACAAAACGATATATGGAAGCTGAAGGCTGTTTCACTTGTCATAGTTAAGATACGTGGTTATTTAAAGAGAGATTAGTCACAGTGTTAAAGTGAAGACCAAACAACAAGATGTTTCCCTCATGCATTTGAGTAGATTACTCCAGACAATCTGAGAGTGACAGTATCTGGCTTTAGACAAGATTTAAAGGGACTGTTTTTTTTTTAACAGGATGTATGTTACGGTGTCGGGCCCTGTGGGAAAGAATAGACACAGAACAGCAGACAAGGCCATCCGATATGGAAGGATTGGTGAGGAATGTAATTGATAGTGTTGGAAGGAGTGGGATGGATTCCTCTCCCTGGCTCTCACATCCATGGAGGGCTTCCTCATTCACACAGTATACAATAGACAAGGACAAGGTGAGCTGCATTCAAGCGGTATCCTGTTCTCAGGAAACAACTGACAACCAGCTTCCCATGTATTCGTATTTCGACACAGCCAGGGTTGTGATGCCAGGGTTGATTTTTAGATTAATTTTTGCCAAGGCAAGCAGGCAAAGGCATGTTATTATATCATTAATACACCTGTGAAGAGCAGAAGTAAAATAAAAATAGTCCAGCGGTTAAGTATTCGTCTAAACTGATGAGTCCGGGACTCTTTGCATGTTGCAGCAGGTAAGGCTGCATTCATGGGAATTTCCAGACGTTCATAGCAAACAGACTTCAGACATGAGTCACGGGAGATGAATCTGTTAAGTGTGCAAACTGTACAAAGCAGATGTGAATAAGGCAGCTTAAGTGCTGATTGAAAGATGAAAGCAATCAATCTGATTCTGTGCAACAGATGTTGCTTAAAAATTGCATTTTGTGTAATACAATTAAAAATAAATAGTAAATATCAAGGTACACTACAGCCAGCCAGTTAGCTTAGCTTAGCAGAAATACTGGAAACAGCACATACTGTAACCCTTCCATGAAGCCACAAAAAAATTGTTTGGAAACAGTTCTTCCTCTCCAATAGAGTTTGTTTGATGTTCTCTTTGAATATGAATACACGTAGAACAGAAAATACCAGCAAACCTATTTTAAACAAACTAAAAAGCAATTGTCATGGCATAAAGAGAAAGTCCAACATGTTTTGGCATCAGGAGTCCACTATAAGGATTATTTGTACTTCTTGATGAAACCTTGGAGTTTTCTTGTTATTTTGTGTTTAATGTTTGAGGACTTCAGTTTTCTT